TATATATATATATATAAATATATATATATATATATAAGAGACAGTGTAGAGAAAGAATTCTCTGATAACCGAGGCATTCCTTAATTAAAATGTCTTTATTACAAAAATGACATGTCCTAAACGGAAAACTTTAAAACGCCTTATATATGTGTCTATTGTAGCCTTATTTAAGTTGATTTTCTGTATACTGTGTATTTATAAAGTCCAATAATGGTATTAGAGACTGTCAGTGGTAATATCATTGTGTTCTTGTCGGTCAGTGTTGAGGATCTGTGTAACAACTGAGGCTTAGCCTGACAGTTAGCCTGCCCTGGACCAGGCTAGTTTCCCAGCATAAGTTGCCAGGGTAACTGAGTTTGAACTTTTTTAAGTTTGATTTATGAAACCGAATCTACCAAAAATAAGCTTGACTAACCGAAATAAGCCTGGCTTATACTCTAATCTTGGTTTATGGAACAGCCCCCAGGACCCAGAAAACACCTCAGACCCCAGAGGGTTAAACACCAACCATCCTCCAATCAGCTGTCACGTTATGCAGCAGCTTCGTGTTTAGTGTGAAACATGTCAAACGGCACCTGTGAGGTATAAGAAAGATCTCCAAGAAAATAAAAAATATGCCCATTTGCATGACTCATCTGTCATGTTACACCAAGAACCATAAAGAATAAGGTGTGTGCCAATCTGCAGGTAAGTCCATTGACTGTCCAAGCAACCCAAGCTTCCTGTTTTAAAATTCAGAGCTTTTTGCGAAAATGCAAATCCTAGGAAAAAATTTGTGTAAAGTCATTAAATATTAATACTTCTGCAGCAAGCATAAAACACATTAGAGCTCTTTTCCACGGCACATCCTGATGAAATTCAATAATAACCAACTCCACCATAATCCAGCGCCTTTTCTGGGAATGGATTCAAACTCGAGCTTTTATTGTGAGCCCACTAAGGAAGAAGGATAAACCCAACAACCCGCTGTTGTCTCCTGCTAGCATTCCGATAAGAGTCAGTAGGTGTGCATTCAGTATCAGCGCTCCCAGTACAGCTCATTGCGACATGACCTTTCATGGCCGTCTGTGCCCAGAGAGTGAGGAGAAAACATCACTTCACGCTTTCTGAGACGGCGCCAAAAACAGGGACGCTTTCGCCGTGAGACAGCGGTGAGGAAAGACACAGGATCCCTGCAGATTTGGACGTGCGGCTCCATTAGCGGGACTTTCTCGTCAATGCTCTCGGTGGGGAGAACCGGGAATGAGGCGCGAATGACATTTGCTTTGGGAGATGTAGGAGATCCTTGGAGAAGGATTATCATCTGTGACTCAGTGGAGTTATCGTGGTGCTAACAAACCTCGGGACTCAAGGGGGCGACAGTGTTAACTTCAAATGTCGTTAAACCAAATGAAAACGTAAAAGCACACATAAACAACAAGATTTTCTTCAAACTGTTGCTATCCACCTTAACGATAGAGAAAACTGACCGGAAAGTAGACGGTTTATGCTAACGGCTATGATGGCATTCCATGCTGCGATGCTAAGAACGCAATTAGCACAACATTTCCACCCATTAGCGAATTTTAAAAACATTGATGGATAATTTAGACTGTTTTCTATGGAAGCTTGTTTCCGCCACAGAATGAAAAATATAAAAGGGAATTGCGACTTTTTATCACACAATTTTGTCTTTTTATCTCAGATTTGCGAGATATAAAGTTGCAATCGCGAGTTATAAAGTCGTAAAGTTATAAAGACTTATTTTCTCGGAATTGCATGTTCATATTTCGCAATTCTGACTTTATAACACGCAATTGGGAGATATAAAGTCAGAATTCTGTGATATAAAGTCGCAATTGCGAGAAAAAGTTTATATCTCGCAATTCTGACTTTATAACACGCAATTGCGACTTTATATCACAGAATTCTGACTTTATATCTCGCAATTGCGTGCTATATAAATATAAAATATAAACACGCAATTCTGAGAAAAAAAGTCAGAATTGCGGCTTTATATCACGCAATTCTAAGAAATAAAGTCAAAATTGCGAGATGTAGACTCGCAATTGTGAAATTAAAAGTCGCAATTCTCTTTTAAAAAAAATGATTCTGTGGCGGAAACAAGCTTCCATAGTTTTCGGTCACTTTGTCATAAAATAATAATCCATCTTGACTATTCTTGACTATTTAGAAACATTCCCACAATGTAAATATATATCTGAAATGTTTCTTCACCATCCAAGCACAACATAAAATGTTGCGAAAGAGACACGGTGCTTGATTAGACAAAAAAAAAATTAAATCATAGAAGTTCTTATTGCATTAAAAACACCTAAAAATTGTGTTCTGGACATTTTGTAACGCAACGACGAGTCAAATAAAGCTTTCACACACTTGAGTAGTGTTTAAAATAATAATAAAATAGTATACAAAAATATACCATTTACTATTAGATCATGAATGTATCCCAGAATGCATCTCGCACCAACCAGAAAGCGTCAATGGAGGAGAAAACCCACATAATTTTTCAAAATACTACCGTTAGTGAGTACGAAAAGTAGTTTTAAGAGTTTTCAGGCGAAAATGCATTTGTTTAAAGCTCAAATCTGAAGTTTATTTATAAAGATAGGATTTATAACGATAAAATAGGCAAATTTGAAAAGTTGCACCGACTGCATATAATTTGTGTGTGATCAGCGGGTTGTTGAGGAAAGCAGTGATGTTTCCTTCGTAAGACGACGGGGGGATTCCTGGATTTCCCCTGCGTGAAGGGACAGGGACGGGGGTTTGAGGCGCAAATGACATTTGCTGCGGGAGCCGCAGGTGATCTTTGAAGACGACTTAGTCAGACTTCTTTTCTGTGACTCAATGGAGGCCGGAAGATGTGAATCACAGGCAGACAGCATTCGCACCCTCACTTTCACCGTTCTTCTCTCCTCTAATAATACAGCTTTTCACAGGCGGCGCATAAAAAAAAGGATTCCCACAATGCAAGACAAATCCATTTACAGCGTTATTGAGGCCAAGCGAGAGCACAGCCTGACAAATACTAAGTACATACGATGAGACGCATACTTCCAGCGACAACACAATTATTCTTTGCCTTTATGAAAAAAAAAAAAAAAAACTTGCGGATGAATTAACACCAGATGTCAGGGAATTAAATGTAGTGGTTGTGAATGAGATGTAGCAGTTCAGACGACGTCACATGACGACATCATATCCTTTCATAGCATATTTTTTAGAAACTATTGAGTTTTGGGGATTTCAATATATGAAAAGCAAATGATGACAAAGGTGAAACGCCGTTCAATTACAGCGAGAGTGGACCTAAAAATTATAACATCATTAAGTCTGATGTGAATCACTAAAGTATACTAATAAACAAAAAAAACCCCACAAATAAATAAAATTTAAAAAGGAAATAAAATAAAATAAATAAAATTTAAAAAGGAAATACAATAAAATTAAATAAATAAATAAATAAAATGTAAAAAGGAAATAAAATAAATTAAATTAAATTAAATACATACATACATACATACATACATACATAAATAATAAAATAAAACAAATAATAAGTTAAATAAATAAATAAAACAAACTACTTGTTACTTAAACTAACATGCTCAGCAAGATTCTCTTAAAACGGTTGCTCCATCATGACAATATTAGATCTGAAAGACGAAACTGATCATAAAAGTGTTCCTTACAGTAATGCTGAGTTCATAATCAGACTGTGTATGAAATTAACTTTATTTCACTTCATTTAAACTGAACTTTATTTATTGCTGCCGTGCGTGCTCAATAATCCCAGGATGCATCGGCACGAACAGATTGGTGATATTATTAATGCACCTATAATAACCTGTACACCCCAGAGCAAGGGTTTCTCATACACATTACCGTATAATCTACGGTTCACTCAGAGGTTACGGTCTTATGACGCTTTTGCTATTAAGATGAATCTTTAAAATGTCCCTAGCAATTATCTGGACAAGTGATATTATGTTGAACTGTTCCACTTGGCTGTGCCCAACCGATGGGTGTAGAGAGAGATTCCTCAACCACCACAGGGAAAAACTTAATTATTCATATTACAAATGACTTAATATTAAAAATACACGAACAAACAATGTTAAAACTAAACTAGATAAAAAAAGGAAAAAGAAACTTGGCGTTAAAACCATTCACAGATGCAGTATTTCTGAAACTAAAAATAAAAAAATAGACAAATGACCTATATCGGAATATACAGTATATATCAATATATCAATATATATATATATATATGCAACAAAATATGATTAAAAAAAATGTTTGTATAGTAATCGTATAGTAAAAATTACAATTAAATAAATATATTTATAAAATCATACATGATAAATAATTAAATAAATGAATAAATGAACGAACGAATGAATGAATGAATGAATGAATAACAGCGTTAAGCAAAAATATATAAATACAACATATAAAAATTGCATTCAAAATTGACAGATTTTCCTTAAATTGAATGAATGGACAAATAAATAAACAAACAAACAAACAAATAAATAAATAAACAAGAGCCTACATAATATATGCTTTTTTTATTTTCTGAAACTGAATAGTAAAAATTACAATTATTTATAAATAAATAAACAAGCAAGCTTTAAATAATAATAACAACGATAATGAACAAATAAGTAAATAAATAAATAATGAAAAACTTAAAACAACATGTGAAAAAAATTGTGTAAATAAAGTAAATGTAAGTAAATAAACAAACAAACACATAAGTAAAAAAAATACATTACGTACACATATTTAACTGCTTTTTCTTGAGTATTGAGTGTGGACCATTAAACAGGTTTCATTGCTTAATGGATGTTTTCATAGTTGGGAACCAGTATAAATAAATCCGCCTAAAATGCAAGTTTCCTCTCTAACTTACCAAAATCAGATTGTAAACTTTTGAAGGATGAATCAGAAACGCATAATCTCACGCCACTCTTTTGTAGATCACATATACTCACTCTAAGTTGGAGAGATTCTGTCCACTGTCCAATAACTTTATATCCGGGAGTGCTGTTGATATTAATCTGGTACTGGAAAAGATCGTAACGTCCCGGTGCATCACCGTTTCGATTGAACGTGACGGACGTCCCGGCGCTCCCTACGAAAGACAAAAAAAAACATATTTTTAGAAATGTAGAGTCAACATTGTCAGACGAAACTACTGTATCAACCATACATTAACCAAACAACAACCTGACATGCCTTGTAGACAACAACAAAAGAGTTGCGCTCCATAGAGAAAAAAAAGTTCGTTCGTGACGGAAACACAACCCCTCAGGCCAGGAGCGGAGACTGACACGTCCTGACACTCACTGTGGAGCGCGTGTTTGAAGAGCTGTACCTGCAGGGCTTGGCATTCACCATCACAAACCTGCCAGAACATCATCAGTGTGTTCCTCAAGCTCAGGTGAAGCGTCCTGTTGACACACTCTCATCACACTCACTGCGCTGGAGTGTGTGCCAGGCCGCTCTCAGGAGTGCGGCCATTTCCTGTGTCTGAGCGCTCGTCCTGGGAACACTAACCGAGAACAATGATGATTTACAGAAGCCTCCCAGTTCTCTCCAGTGATTATTGTTCTGCGTTGATCCACAAAGATTATTAATTGGAAAGTTAAATTATGAATAATTCTGTTTATTCCGTTTACAGATGAAGTGACGGAATTAATAGATACTGTATTAGAAGATAGATATCTATATCTCTATCTATC